GGGCAACAACAGTCGGAGCTCGGAAACCTTCTCTTCTTTTTCTCTTCTTTCTTCTTTTTTTTTCTCCTCTCTCTTCGTTTTTTTCTTTTCCTTTCTTCCTTCTCCTTTTTTCTTTTCCTTTTTGTTCTTTATTCTTCTCTTTTCATTTTTTTACTTTTGTTTTTCCTTTTCTTCTTTGTCTTTCTTTTTTTCTTCATTTTTCATATTTTTTCTTTTTTTCTTGTTTTCTTTGTTTCTTATTTTTTTCCTCTCTCTCTCTCTATATATATATATATATACGTACACACCGTATATTGTACTGTGTAAACAGATGCACTACACAATACAAACACGCAGACATACATGCAAACATCCATGCAGACCTACATATGTGTATCCGTACATACCAACATACATACGTGCATGCGTAAACACACACCGATACATGTGCACATACATACACACACACATACATACTGACGTACCTACGCAAAACCAATATATGGTCTTCAATATGAATACATGTATGTATACACAGCTAGCGACACATGTTTTTATACATGCATATGTACGTAACTATCATGAGGTAGATATTTGTATGTATGCATGTATGTATATATGTATGTATGTATGCATGTATGTTTGAATGTTATTCTTGTGGCGGAAATATGTATGTATGCACGGTACACTGCGCGTGATCATCGCTGTTGTTGTGGCTTTGTTAGTATTGTTATTGCTGTCACTGAGGTTGTTTCTTCCGTAACCAGATAGATAGACAGGCAGACGAGTAGATAAACAGATAGCTAGAGAAATAGATAGATGGATGGATGGATGGATGGATAGATAGATAGACATAGGGCGCATGAATTCATCTTAAATATATCTACGTATATACACATATATACATACATTATAATATAATATGTGTATATATATATATATTACACATATATATATATATATTGTATTATAGTAGTATATTATAGTCAAGTATATTGTAGTATGTCATAATATGTTATATTGTCTTATTTTATAATATATTACATTTATTGTATATTATATTTAGACTATATTATATTGTATCTAGGCCATATTCCATTGCAGTATTTTTATTATATCTATATTACAACTATATTTATACTGTATTATATTATATTATTTTGGTAATAAACATAATATTTATATTATACTCTATTTATATGATATTTTGATAATATAACATATTTGTACTATGTTATATTTTATAAATACTACATCTATAGTATATTTATATGCTACATATTTTTATATGATTGTAAATTTGCTATTCTTACTATATTTTTTGTTATATTAAATATACTACATTGTATTATGTTTGTATACTATCTTATACTATCGTATAATATTCTATATTGTATTATCTTATATAATATTATCGTGTATTATATTATACTCTATTATCATATATATTTCTAATGTATCTTATTTTCATATTCTCTTTATTATATTTCACTGTATTATATTTTACTATGTGATATTTTACTATATCTTGTTATATTATATTATGTTTTGTTATATTATATTATGTTATATTATACTGTTTTTTATTATATTATATTCTGATATTTTATATTACATCAAATATTCTATAGTATATTATATTATATAGCACTATATTATACTATGTGTTTAAATAATCTATTATATCTTAGTTTATTATATTATTTTTGTATTTTATTGTATCATACCTCATTACATTTTATTGTATGTTATACATATGTATGCATGTCCGCTCTCAGTTTGTTGACCGAGCGGCTCCCGAGGCCAGACCGCTGCCGTGCACGAAGTCGGTGTCCTGCAAGGCGGAGTACTCCAGTAATTTAAAAAAAAAGGTTTAGGGTTTAGGGTTGAATAGAATTTGATATAGTGTATAGTAGTAATTTAGCAGAATAGAAAAGACTATGATATAGTGTATAGTAGTAATATAAAAGAAGAATATAGAATATGATATAGTGTATAGTAGTAATGTAATGGAGTGGAGTAGAAAAGGATAGAACAGAATATAACAGAGCATAATATAGCATGGCATAATATAGTAGAACATAACATAATAGCTCACAGTGGCTTGCTTAAGTTGACACAGGGGAAATTTCATATGACATGTCTTAACCAAGAAATAACCATACTTGAAGCAAACTAATGCGTGTGTGGTACATATATATATATATATACATATGTATATGCACATATCAATGCATGTGTTTACCTATGTGCGGACATATGTATCCCGATGTGTTGATGCACACGTAAAAATATACAAGATGTACATACTAGTTACATACATACACATACAAACATACATACATACATACATACATACATACATACATGCATACATACATACATATATACATACATGCACACATACAAGTGATATACAAGCATACATACATTTAAACATAAGATAAACACCTGTGTTCATGTCACAAGTTGTCTAAATATTCTTGTGTACATGGGAGGGATCGTCTTCGAGAGTCGGGCGAGATGTCACGAAAAAACAATAAATCGGCGATGACCTTGCGTCTAACTCGTGGCTCTTCGTTCTCTATTTTGAAGTGCAGCTGGTACCTATTCCTACGGATGCATCAAAGCCGGTAGCATACTCAGCATAGCTTCCGGGGCTGTTAACATACAGTGAGCAAGGACTCCCCCGCTGCTAGTGCATATGCTCCCACCTTTTGCTCTTTGCTTGCCCTGGTCTCCCACTAAAGGGCAACCATTCAATGTTGAGGCAGCATGCCTTCCTCTGCTTCGAGGGTTGGACCATACCCACGAATCGCGAATCAGGAAGACAATGATTACAGCAGAACTGTGCAAGGAGGCGCTTGACTACAATGCTGCAAACCCTGGCAGCCATTTCTCTACAAGTCTCTTTCTCAAGCACATGGCCCAGAGCGCTGTCGGTCCGTCATCAACCAATACTACACGTCACAGCAAAGCTAGTGCCGTCCTGATGAATTCCTGTTTGTGCCCCGGCGACGATTGCCGTGTTGTAGCCCAAGCAAAATGTGCTCAAGCTGGCGACGGCGACGGTCCTGCCGAAGGTCTCATCGGTATTTGCTCAGCTCCAACCTCAACCCAAGCGGCTCCTCTTCAGCTGTGCCAGGTCGGCTTCGAGCGATAGCCTAAACGAACCGGACTTGTACCCGATTCCTAGATACTCTAAGCTGCCCTGGGATGCAGACCCGGTCTGGTCAGCGAGGAGTTCTCGTCGCGAGGTACCCTTTGAAGTTCAGCGATGCTGCGAGCGTAAACGATGCCTGGGACAGAACTGCACCAGCCTCACAGATCTCGCCATCTCTTTCAGCGCCACTGTCGGAAGGCATGGATACAGCCCAAGCGCCCTCAGCCTTTAAAGCGCTTGTGCCCAAGACTTCGAATATCTTCTTACGCGCCTCTGCCTTGACTGAAAATTCATTGGCCGGGATCGGCTTGTCCAAAGCGCCCGGAGTTTGCTTAGTTCTTACCACAGACGTGACACTGGTAAAAGCTTGCCTGACGTAGGACGTACAACCGCCGGTCTTTGTGGTTGTGCTCGTGGCAATTGTGCCGAAATGGCTTCGCACATTGTACATGAGCAGCTCACTATATATGGTAACCTATGTAGCATATCGTCTATGTTTTACACTATACACCATACATTCCAAGACATATATACATATATGTATAAACTAGGCACAGGATATTGCAAATTACATACTATGTGTTACCTACTATGTAAACATTACCATACTTTAAAATACATGATATAGTATCAATCGTACATAGTGTACTGTACAACATACTATATACTGTATACTATATACTATATACTGTATACCACATACTGTGTACCATATACTATATACTATATACTATATACTATATACTATGTACTAAACACTATATACTATGTTCTATATACTATAAACTGGAAAAATATACCATATACTATAAACCATACACTATTTACTATATACTGTATACACTGTATGCTATATACGATTTGCGATATACTGTAAACTATATCCCATATAAGCCCATACTATATGCAAATGTGCTATATACTAAAAACTATATACTGCATCTTTTTATACTATGCACTATATACGTTTTACGATATACGGTATAGGATACACTATATACTATGTACTATGTACAAAAATGTTTATTTTAAGCTATATACTATATGCAAATGTGTTCGAATAAGCTAGATGCTACTGCCACATGCTATATACTACATACAATATACTATTTACTATGTACTATATACTATATACTATGTACTATATGGGTGGTTGTCACAACTAGGGTCCCTGCTAGGGTCCTTTTTAGAAGGGTGCTGAGTATTTGGGGGACTTGAACAGGGACCCTAATTTAGAAAACTACCCATAAACCATATACTACTTGTAGACGACATACTCTATACTACCATGTTACACACAGTATTCCACAGATTCACACGGCATACTTTTAATTGCAGACCTTGCACCTTACAGTATAGGTGCGTCGCATATACAAATACGGCTCTGCATATATATATATATACATACATACATACATACATACATACATACATACATACTCATGCATATGCATACATATGTTATATGATATACGGTATACTGTTTTTTGAAGGGGAAACAATATATATATATATACACACACATACTGGGTACTGTATATGAAACTCTACTAGCTGCACATTTTACAGTATGTACTACAATATCTACGTACAGTTTACATAACATATAATATATTATATAGTAGACCTTATTTGTATATATATATACCCTTATTTGTATTTCTGTTACATGCAATGTATTAATATGTGTTATCTATACATATATATATATATACATATTTACATGTGTGCACAACAGGTAATAAGCCATACGGTATACTGCTTTAACAAATCATATGTATAGATATACATATATACATACATACGCTATATCTTAGTAAGCTATATAATAAATATGAAAACTGTATATTGTATACTTTGTGTTTCAGTGCGTGTGTATATCTATACATATAAATGTTGATTGATGTATGCATTCATTTGCTTAGTTATTGCAAGCGGGTGTTGTAGTAAATACTAGACATCTTGTATGACAAGGTATAGTATAGTATGTAGGAATACACAGAATCTGCTGTTTTTGTAGACTATATATCATAAACTGTATATTACGGCTCCTCCGGACAGAATCTACCCAGAGACTCCAAAACCCCTTAATTAAGGAATATACCTTAGATTATAATAGGATCCCTAATATGATTTAAGGTATATTCCTTAATTAAGGGGTTTTGGAGTCTCTGGGTACCTGGCGCAGAGTTTTGCAGACGGCAACGTGCCCAAAAGAACTCTGACGAGAGCAAAGAGGTCTCTGAGCCCGAGCAGAAGGCAAAGAGCTGGCAAGAGCCCTGAGAGGCTCCCTTTAAGGGTTTAAGGGGATCCTTGGGGATCCTTTAAGGGTTGGGGGTTTAGGGGATTTAGGGTTTAGGGTTGTTAGATGCAAGGGTTTGGGTATATAGGGCTTCGGGTTTAGATTTCAGGATTTGGGTATATGGGGCTTCGGGCTTGGATTTAAGGGTTTGGGTATAGGGTCTTGGGCTAGGGGCTGCCAAATCTTCTCCCACACGGGGACCCGCAGTGTTTGCAGGTCCCTTAAATGCCCTCAGCAAGCCGGCAAGTTTTGCAGCAAGCTGGGGTGCGCAAAAAACATCTGTCCCATCCGAAGCAAGAGTTGGCAAGCGCAGCAAGCTATGTTTTATATGTTCCACTGGTTCTATACTGAATGTTTTATGCGGCTAGCTACCATCATCTAGGCTGTACAAGTTTGCGCAAGCAGGCCATCTCCTGGCAAACACCAAGCAACAGCACGTCCAAGCTCAGAATGCATAGCCGCCATCCTTGCTGCAGACATGGGGCCCGGAACAGTTCATGGTCTTGGGGAACACAGAAGTGAACACAGAGAGAGAGAGAGACAGGGAGGTGGACCGACAGACGACAGGCAGGCAAAAAGAGACCAACCCACACGCAGTTTTGTTAGATTTAGCAGATGGGTCAAGGGAATGCACGTGCTAATGCATGCGAGTCTTCCTACCATAGACACTGTCAAGCTTGGGCGGCTGCATCCTTTAGAACCTCGTCAATTTCCTGATGCAGTTATCGTCCACGGGTCTTGACTTCAACACGCGTCAAAAGCAGGAATTGGCTGAACTTTGCCTTGTCCAATTCCCGGTCAAACTCCAGAGCAGCTGCTGTCGGATCGTTCTTGGTGCTTCGCAATCGCTGTAAGTTGCCCACGCGTGACACGTAGCACGAGTAAGCCTAGAACTATACGTAGAAGACAGGAAGAGCTTTTCTAGCAGAGTGTGAGGAGTCTTTGATTCTGGGATGCCGACACCATCGAAAGGGTCTTCGCCCTGAAGATGGGCAAACATCTACGGTCTTTCTACGCACGTGTGCAAGCATGGCATGCCTGCTGCCAGGCATCTTCCGGCTTGCCAAACATGGGATTGGCGACCTTACCACATCCGAGCCCTGCCACTCCGCCAACAAGGTTTAAGTTGTAAACACATGCACCTCGCATCACCCCATAGCACGCAAGGTCACACAATGTCACAATGCATCCGAGGTGATGGCACCAACGCCACCATCTTCGCTGTTTGTCCATGGACTCGGTGCCTGCAACAAGACTGGGGCCGTCGACACTACGGGAAACCAGCGTTAGCTGACGAGACCTCAGGATGTCCTGCAGGACTGGACAGACTTAGAACGCCCCTCTGAGGCTCTGATTCGTGGGCAATAAGAACCGAGTAAACACCCGTGAGCCTGGAGGCAAGCCTGTAGTTGCAAGACTTCGGAGAAAGAGGAATCTCTTTGCTGTCTGCTGCCAGAAACAAGTGCAGGATTTAGGATCGAAGCTTGAAGCCTCTGATGCAGGGTGTAGCGAGGCTTTGCTCTGGCAGCACAAACTTTAGCACTTGACTGCGCATTGGTCGGGAGCCGATGCCCTGCCAGAGATCCCATCATCGTTTAGGAGCGGCGTGAACATTCGTCTTCTTTCTTGATCATGTACTTGACCAAACAACACGCAGGCAGCAGCAGCGACAGCGACGTCGATGACGACGACGGCGACCACAACCACAATCACCACCATGACCAGCCCACCAGAATCAGGAACTTTTGTGCAACAGGGCAACACTCACAGCTGCCTGGGAAGACGATCGAATGCCTTTGAGCCACCACCACGCCTGCCAAGATGCGAACACTGCTTTTGCATGCATGTATGTGTTCATGTATGTATTTACGTATGTGTATTTATTTTTTACATACACTCAATGCGTAAGCAGCGTGAACATCTACAAAAAAGGCGTCTATGTATGTATATATCTCTCTCCCTCTCTCTGTGTACATAGTCGTATATGTACACACATATATGTCCACAGATAGATAGATAGATAGATAGATAGATAGATGGATAGATAGATGGATAGATAGGCATATTAGATAGATAGGCATATTAGATAGGTAGATAGATAGATAGATAGATAGATAGATAGATATATGCATATTATAGGCATATTTGTGAGAATATACACCTTAGTATGTACTCCAATTTCTACTATACTAGAGCATCACCACCACACCCGACAGCCCCTGGCCTCGGCGCTGCTATCCAAAAGGAAAAGCACGGACGTCCAGGCCTGCACAAGCCCATCTGCCCAGGGTTTAGGATTTAGGGCCTTAGGGAATCGACGACATCCTGCCTTCCTCTTCAGGAGATTAGTTTAGGGTCTCTTTTCGGGACCACCTTCGCTGCGGCGCTGGCGCGGCCCGCGGCCGGAGCGGAGTCCACGCGTTGGAGGCCGGTCTTGATGATGCTGGCAGAAGGCGATCGCATGTCCCAACTCCCAAACTTCAGCGCAGCGGCGGTCCGCGGATGTGAAGAAGTAAGAAGCACATGCGCGCCTGTGCACGGGTCTCAGTCGTGCTCCCTGCTCCGCCTCAAGCCACATTGGAATTCTCGCAGAGTCGAATGCTCATGTCCCTCATGACTGAGCGCAGCACGACAGGTGCGATCGCGACCGCTAGTGTCAACCAGCAGAAGAGCGTCCGCAGAGCTTGAACTGCAGAATTCGACCAAGGCTGACCAAGGCGACTCATCCTATTCTGTTGCACTCTTATTGGCTATATTCCACTCGGCAACGCAGACAGCCGAAGCAGCCACAAGAGCCCAGTTGCACATGAGGATCCCTAAACCCTAAACCCTAAACCCTAAACCCTAAAATACCCTCCATGCGGGCCGACGAAACGCTTTCCCGAGCCCCTGGCCGCCGCTGCATCCGCTTCCAACCCAAGTCCAGACCTCCCAGCTTCGGGGTTTAGGGTTTAGGGTTTAGGGTTTAGGGTTTAGGGTAAAAACTAATCATTGCTATTAATCTCAGTGATAATAGGAAAAGGACGTTTTAAATCATGGTGATACTAATAATACTCATACTCATCATCATCGTAATAATCATGTCTCTCTGAAGGAATTTCCAAAGGCCGTCAGCTGCACAGGGTCCCCCAAACCGCAAACCCTAAATTGCCAAGGCCCTATGTAAACCCTAAACCCTAAAGCCCTAAAACCTAATACCCTAAAGCCCTAAAAACCTAAAGCCCTCGTCATCGAGCCGGCACCTCCATGAGCAGCTGCTTTGCTCGATTCATCCGGCGAGGCTCTGCCGAAGCAGACGTCCAAGATGCCAGCCTAGGCCAACCCAGAGACTCCAATATTCCTTAATTAAGGAATATTCCTTAAATTATAGTAGGATCCTTAATATGATTTAAGGTATATTCCCTAATTAAGGGATATTGGAGTCGCTGGGAAGCTTTCGGCCCGCATCTCCAAGCTACTGCCACATCTCCGAGGCGGGAGCTCTTCTGCGAAACCTGCCAATGTTCGGATCAGACGTCGAATCATTTGGTTTAGGGTTTAGGGTTTAGGGTTTAGGGTTTAGGGTTTGCATTCCGGTATTGCACTTTCTTTTCGCTTGCAGTTGCGCACGGCGCTTGGCAGTTGCAAGGGCCCTTCGGGGGCTCGCGCGGGAGATCGACTCTACTCAGCAGGATCTAGCAGGACCATTCCTGACAGAACCTGAGGCGCACGTTTCACAGCTCACTACACTCACGCACCACCGCCCGCAGCACCCCGATCACCCCACATCCAGAAAGAATCTCATGACGAGCAGCCGCTCGCGTGTGAGCTCGACTCGGCTCCTCCAGCTGCAAAGTCCCGTCGCTTTGAAGCCGCGCATCCAAGACTTCCAAGCGATCGGTCGCCCTCGTGATGGCAATGTCCTCAGTGCCCGCAGCCCACTAGAAGTGCTGCATTGACAGAGTAGGAACACGAACAACTGAGATGAAGCATAGACAATGCGAGTGAGGATCAGCGTCCCAATCATCTTCCAGCAAAGCAGCGCCACTCCTGGCAACCAGAGGAACAGAAGATTGCAATTTCATCGAACAAGTCGCCCAGTACTTAGTAGGTTTTTGCGATGTGAGACATCGCCGATCGCACGCGGCTTAGCAACGCGAAACACAAAGAGAGTCCCAGAGTGCCTGCATCGTCCACGTACCGTAAGACTGACTGCTTGCGTTGCGCCAGGCGTGCGATGTGCAAGGCTTGGCCAAGACGCTCCTGATCTCTCGCAGGTACATAGGCTGCACATGAAGCAGGCCATTTGGCCCATTCCTGGCACAAGGGAACCATCATCACCAAGATCCTCTTGCAGTAATAGGCTGAACGCAATGTTGCTGTCGAAATACAAGGATCATGACAGAGCGCACCCCTGCCACCTGCTGTAGTTCACCTGCACCGCCACAACATGACCTTAGCTGTAAGCACGCGCTCTCCCAAGCATGCTTGTCGCTGTCTACCAGGATCAGCGGCAACGTTTTGTCGTTTTTGCGAAAGCTGTTGCTAGAAATATTTCTCCGAGACACCGATGCCCCATCCGAAGCCCATCTTGGGCTGCAGCAAACGAAAGAGCACGACGGATCCTGGGAGACTCATGCAAGTCTATACACCCTAAACCCTTTACCCAACATTCTAAACCCTCCACCTGAACCCTAAACCCGCCATCCTAAAGCGTAAACCCCTAAACCGGCCATCCTAAACCCCAAACCCCCACCTTCTGAGACGAGGCCCTCGACTGCAGCGTCGTGCCTGAGCACTGTTTTAGGGTTTAGGGTTTGGGGGTTTAGGGTTTAGGGTTTGGGTTTTAGGGTTTAGGGTTTAGGGTTTGGGTTTTAGGGTTTAGGGTGTGGGGTTTAGGGTTTGGGGTTTTGGGTTTAGGGTTTATCTTATGTTTTGTTGTAGTATATTGGGTTGGGGTGGATTAGGCTATTGTCATATCATATTACATACCAGACTATTTATCTTGTGTTCCTGTGGGGCAACCACATAATGTAGTGTAAGGGATTGCACTAGGACAGAACAGGTTAAAGTTAACAAGACATGATGGGATAGAATGCAACAGAACCCAACACAACATCCTATAATAATACTACCCTGAGGGTATCGTTCTTTCTCCCGCCAGGTAGCCTTCTCACGAAGGTATTTAAAACGGGAGCTCGCCCTGCCCAGCCATCATCATCTGTGTCTCTCCTGGCTGTGAAATCAAGAAGAACTCAGAAACCCTAAGTCAAGGTGTAGCGTTGCACGGTGCTGCTACTACAGCCCCGGATTTTGTTGGGAGGCTCTGCTTATTTTAACGTTAATGCCATTTAGAGAGTTTAAATTTTACGGTTTCGGGTGCAAAAGCCCATGCTGGTTAGCGCATGTCGCCGTCATGACATCAGCTAAGCAGCTCTATCTGAGCGAAATTGCCCCAGCCTGGGACCGCGAATTCTTTTCCGAGCCAGTCGGCGAGGAATTCCTCCACTGCGTCAGCTGGCTCTTCACCTAGCAGGCACACTCCACCCAAACCCTGAAGCCCATTTCGAAGCTGTTGTTGTCTCAAGCTTTTCAGAGACCTTCCGAAAAAAGCTATAACCGGATCTGACGGGGCCCGGTCAGGCCCGAGTCAGCTCGGCAAAGGAAGCGGAAAACTGATACTCTTTCATAGTAATGCTGCGGCCTATTATTGATTACTCAAATTATAGTAGGCTATTTTTAGTACTGCTTGAAACACTAGGCGATCTCCCCTTAACTTTTTGGATACGAGACAGGGATGGCCAGAAAGGCATCCGCTCAGACGTCGCCCGCAAAAATACAAGGCCTAAACCCCTACGCCCCAAAAACCTAAAACCCTAAACCCTAAAACCTAAAACCTAAACCCTCAAAGCCTCGTCCCGGATTGTACAACACAAGGTTCTCGCAAAGGTCACTATGAGACTATATGGATTACTTTAAGCGAAACCGGTTCATATAAGACTATATACAGGGTACTTTAAGCCCATAACCACCAGAATCAGAGTATAATGAGGTTACTATACAAGGATAAATGCTTCTGAGGCTGCTGCGTCACGATACCTTCCTCAATCCCCTAGTGCTGACTGGGACCCCGTCCTGCGGAAAGCAGCTCTGCGTCGTCCAACCCTTGCAAGACGCGGTACGCATCCTTAGATTTGATGCAGGGAATGCATCGCCAGTCGTGGACATCATCGATGTGAAATCCCAAGACTCTTTTGCATAGGGCTCCTGCTGCACAATCTTGGAGCACTCTGGCAGCTAAGATGCCTCCTTACTTAAGCCGCCCTGCTGCAGTCTTAGAGTCCACGACTCGTCGGAAGGACTCGTCGCTGCCACTCGCGACGTCTGGATGCGATCGCGCAGCAAGACGCCGAAAGGTGCGCCTGCGAAGGCTTTAGGGTTTCGAGCGATGTGTGGATCACCTCTCCTCTCACAACTTTAACCCTACACTCTGAACCTTTAAGTTTGCAGCAAGGAGCCGCAACTCCTCTTTGGACGGCACATAGTCCAGCCCTAGGGCACGAAGGGCCTGAAATCAAGTTGAGCAACCGTTCTTGCCTTCTCCGGCGCCAAGCTATGCTAGGTCGTGAGACCAAGCTCGGCTCTGAAAACAATGTCTCCACTTGAATACAGGAGCCTCGCCTCAGCTTTGGAGGCTTGCGCAGAGGTAGCTCCACACACCGTCCGAGTTCTCAATGAGGGCCTGCACCATCGAAAAGAAAGAGATACCGTAAGTCAGTCATGCACATCCTATAGAGCGGATAGCGTGGAAGTCGGAATCCAATGACGGCAGCCTGCTGCGCAGGAAGCAGGGTGCCCAAAGCAGCGGGCTGGCTAATAGCACAAGGTTGACCCTTGTCAGTCCCATAGCATCGCAGAGGCTCTGTTAAACGCATCAGTGCCTACTGTTGTCTGGAACGCAACTGTTTGAGGACGGCGGCTCTTGCCGCATGTGCTTACTCCTGCTTGTCAGCATCGCATTTCTGCTTGCTGTCGACGAAAGAGGCTTGATGGAAAGGGCCAGTCTGAACTTGGGGCCCGATCTTCTGGGTGTTGTCTGCCGTGCTTTAACTTGGGACTGGAGATCCATATCTGTGATAGACGGCTCGACATTGAGCCACCGACAGATGCGGCAAGCGGAAGCCTAAGGTCAGCCTACAGCACGCTCGCTGAAGGCATCGCACACAATCAACTGTCTACTAAAAACTGCGTGATATGTAATCTACAATCTAAACTCTTCAAATCTCTTAAACATATCGGTATAGAAAACCCAAGAATCTGACATGGTTTCGAACGGCCGCCCACCTTCTGCGTCCAAGAGCAGCTGTCGGGATTGCGACCAGCGCCGGTCGCAGTTGCACTGCGGGTCCAAAACCCAGGCCAGAGCTGCCTGGGGGGACGAAGGGAATGAGATCATAGCTGATAATAACAGCAATAAAGAATAGTAGTGATCATAATAACAATATAGTATAGCATAATAACAGTAATAGTATTGGTGATAGGAATAACAAACAATATAGTACAGTATAATGACATAATACTGATCCTAATGATGATGAACCAATTCAATGGCTCCAGGGGTTTCGGGCTCAGAGACTCGCAAGGCAGTGAGGCAGTCTCAGGCAGCGTCGAAAAGCCGCTCGATGCCGGTGCCCAAAGCACCACGCTGCATGTTCTGCGAGGACCAGAGGGCTTGGAGGTGGCAAATGCGATACTCTAGTAGGAGCTGGCCGTCATGTTTCACCGCACTGCACCATCTAAAGAAAGCATCCATTTAGGGTTTAGGGTTGTTTTTTTTTTTAAGCACCTTTAGGGATGTTTAGGGTTTAGGGTTCCCGAGTCGGATCCCGCGGCGCTCCTCCGGCGGCTCTGGGTTAGCTGCCAGTTCCGCAAGCTGCTCTTCGTCAATGGACCTCTCAGAGAGAAAGACTTACGAGGAGGTGTAGTTCGGAAAGCCGCGTTTCAAGCCACAGAATCACTAGATTCTCTGGAAATTCCTGGTGGAATATATGAGCATGCTCGGCTAGCAATCATCAGTTTCTCTTGCTTTCTGTCGCTTCTCAGAGCCTCTGAGAAAAAGAGCTATCAGTTCGACTCCAGCCTCAACACCAACACGCCCATTCGGTGTGTGCGCACATCTGGCACTGAAACCTGCTCTTCTAAACGGAAGCTTCGTTCGGCATCAGCCTCGCAATGCGCTTCAACGTCTGATCGAAGCTTGGAAGTGGCGCGAGCTGGACAGACATGATGCCCTGCACAGGGATGGGCATTCACACTCCCTTCGAAGACAGCATGACTTGACTGTCTAACGAAGTTGAAGTCTCCTTTACTTGATGTGTACAAGCAGAGCTTGCTGCCTTTCTGTTTCAGGACGGTGCTTGCAGTAATGCGCCTCGGCCCATCGCAGCCGCTGCGCAGGCTCTGCAGCTGGAGGGCCTGAGATCCAGTGTGGCGCTGCCGTGAACCGCTTTCGGGGAGAGTCTAAGGGCATCACTGTTGAGAAAGGCGAGTCCAGCGCCTAAGAACACGTTTGACATGCGGAAAAGGTGGCCAAAGTCTGGTCATGAGATGCTACACTCTGCTAGGTCCGCCACTATCAATCGCACAACGCACGTACCTGAACGGAAGCGCACACAGGAGTCTTGCGGTGAGTCCATAAAACAAAAAATACAAGATAAAAAGAAGCTGTCGCTGGGGCACTCCACGTGTGGATAGACGATCGGTATACCCTGCTCAGCCATGGCCTGGCAAAAGATAGGCAACAGTTGGAAAAACAACGCTCGATTCCCTGTGTCAGTCAATGTCTTTTTGCTTCCTAGTAGGGACTGCAAATCGGTTCGGTTCAATCTTTCCCGAAAATGACCGAATAGATAGAATAGATGAACAGATGTCTGCTTCATCAGCCTGGCTGCAACAAGAAACCGACAAATTTTGGACTGGCGGTGGACTCAGACAGAGGAGGGCACTATCCTGCCTGCAACTGATTGCAGGCGAGGTTGGCTGCCTGCCGCAGAAGCGAGAATCGGCATGGAAAGAACATCTTCTTTACATGCCGCACTTGTGCATGCGTGATGCTGTCATTCCTCCGATGTCCGCCTCCGAGCACGCTAGCTGCAGTAACTGCTAACTAAGGTCATTGCAATTCATCACATACTGGTGCCATACAACCAGTTTTGCACTTTTTGACACTCACCACACCTCAACCTGCGCGGAAAAGCAGGGCAGCTTCCACCGGCGGTGGGAATGAGTGCGAGAAAATCGATTTAAGAACTGCAAGGTGTGCCTGCAAGACGCAGTCCACGCTTGTACAGTTCGGCGGTAGGGCGCACATGTTCTCCAGATCTTGGCAGCGGGGCTCTTTGCTTCAGGCACAGCCGACAGCCACTGTTGTCTAACTTGGATGAGTGAACCAAGCCCCTCTGGAAAGACCAAGGCACCTTGAGCCACGCGAAGGACCTGGCCGAAACCCAAAGCCGCAGCTTTGATAAGCGCAAAACTCAAGCCGAACCCGATGTCAACGCTGCCCTTCCCCAAACTCGAAACCCTGAACGCTACACCGCAGGCATAGCGCCCAGCCTTGGTGGATTCTCTGTAGGCTTTCTCGGCCTGTCACCGATGCCAGGAAAAAGTGCAGCAGAAGAAGCCCCAGACTTCTCTGCAAGCTGTGACCCGTGAGGTTTCGCAAGCTGGTGTTCCAAGACGAAGATCGGGGGTGAGGAAGCTTGTGTGTATACCATACGATACTAGAGCAGAGTATACTGTACTCTACTCTACAAATGCTATACCCTTAACCCTAAACCCTATAAGACTGTACCTACGCCACCGAGTCTGCGAAGTGAAAAGACTTGAGAACCTGATGAGGAGGCCTCTGCAGCTTGAACTTCCCATGAGCACTAGCATATATCATCTGGGTTCTTGTTAAGGGACTTAGTTTAAGTTACCAGAATAAAGAAACCCTATCATTTACAATAGATCCCTATTATGGCAACTTAAACTAAATCCCTAGCCAAGAACCCAGTCATAGTATGATCGATTCAATGTATACGTTATATAGCAAAAAGCAACGCAGATATTGTAGTGTATAGTGTGGTGTATACTATAATACAAAACATGGTATATATCATAGTATTCTTGTATATATCATATGTTATACAGTATTACATTGCGGCTCATTATGGTGCATATTGTGTGCGAGAGTACGCATGAGATAATGGGATTTACGTGGGGGCTGTCATCGGGAGCTGCCATCCACATCCGAGCCTGGAGGCAGAAGGACATATTTGCCACCGCATATGCCCGCAACGGCATAAACTCTTGGTAGAAGTCCTGGCTACATTTCGGGTTTAGGCTTTAGGGTGCAACAGCACAGACAGTCTCACAGACGGGGCCCCGATGTACCTGGAAGCAGACCCCTGCTGAAACCCCGCCCACGCATCCTGCATGGCTTTGACGAAGGCGCTGACAGCATGGAGACCACGTTGGTAGTCGGCCTCCCTTAGAGCATCGCAGGACCGTCCCCGATCAGATCTGACCTGTGACATGTACTGGATTATAACTCCTACCCGCCGTACCTCACGGGCGGTGGAGACACAGAGTCCTGCGCACATGGACGTGGACATATCCCCGCGCATTGAAAGTAGAGGTGGCCTGCATCGCATTCTCTCGCCGCCAAGACAGACCGTCATCGCGCTCGCGAGAGGTGTCTCGGCGTGTGAAGTTGGGACCATCCTGCACTTTGACGGTAGATGCAATGCTCTCAGAGAAGTGCTGACAGGATGACACCGGTGCGTCTTAAGTCTTACAGAGCCTTACAGCTTTCTACGATCGCTCCATCGTGTTGTCGCGTCTCCGGCTCTCGGACGAGGTGTCCCGTCTTCCAAAGGGCAACTCCTGCCGCCGTGCTTCATGAACTGCTGAATACTGCTGCCCGCGCAAAGAAGAGACGCAGGCCATCGCAGGTCCCGGTCCCGGTCACTGTGGCGCGAACCAGGCTTCTCGGGAGTCCCTGGCGTGGTCGGAATGGATCCTCGCAGCAGCTTGCACCCTGGCGAAACCCAACATGAAGAGAACCACCACATGCGGCCTAAGAAGGCAGCAGATCGCCGGCGCTGCTCGATGAACTCAACTTGGTAACTTGCCGGCAGCCCAGCCTCTCAAATGCCCCGATCAGTGGATCTCCACGACATTTGAGCTCCAGCCGACCTCCTCTAGTTCCTGTAGAAGACGAAGCGACGTACTGAGATTGGCCTCCGCAGGCTCAGCGACGATTTCATTGCGATCACTGGGACTCGAATCTTCGCAGAATGCTTGACGGAAGCAGAAGGCCGCGGTAAGGGCAAGCACCTGTGGCACGAGAGGCTTTTTGAGCAAGCTTGTGCTCAACCTCGGCAATATAGCTTGAAGCAATTGCAGAGTCACGGGTTTGGTCACTGAGAAATTGTCTCCAAGATCTCACACACCACCTGCATCTGCCAAGGAGTGTCCACCTTTCCCAAACATCAAGGTCTGGAGAGAGATTTTGAAGCTGCAGTGAAACATCCATGTTCACATGGCTACCAGACCAGCGCACCCACACTTGCCTGCACCGAGTACTGGCCTGTTCTTGGCACTCCCCAGGCATGGCCGCGGACGAGCTGCCAAGCGGATGGACAAGTCGTCAAGTCCAAGTGTGTTCTTGGCAGAGCTGCATGTCCACTGGCATACTGGCATAGCTGTACGTAAGCTTTGTCAACAGAGACGTTGCTGCTAGCATGGCTCCATGCCGAAAATTAGGAAGTACCGACATACCTTTTCAGGAATCTGGAGATTCTGAACTACGATGATAAAGGTACCACAAAGTTGCAATCCTGCAGCAAGCCAGCCTCTGTCGTAGTGCGAAGAATGTCCATCATCGTCAACTGACAGCAGGGGGTCTAAGATGAATGCTCTCCAGCCACGCCACAGACTGGTCAGGCATCACATACCCTGCAGCTGAATGCAGCATGTGAAGCAAACTCCAGGCATCCTCGCCTGAAGTGACTGCTTCCGCGGAGACGTTGGAGTGGGGATCGGTGGGCTCAAGACCTCAATCGGTGTTCTTGGACCTCTACATGTCGCCATCCGTCCCACATCACATGATGCAGGAACTCTTCGGGTTCAGTCCCATGTTTCCGCAACGGCCTGCCCTGTGACAGGCCTTCGCCCGCCAGTCACGTGAAGACTCCGTCGCAGTTATCCCAAGCTCCGTCCACGTTCCGAGAGCTTCGAACTCGAGAATGATGCGCGGATTTTTTCTCGAGGTCTTCAGGCTGTGGGTCGCGACCACCAGCCCTTCGCATGCACCGTTTTGTCTTGGATCTTTGGCTGCTTGGTGGATTCGCTTGGGTGCCGCAGCGTCGCTTCCCCTCTCACTCTCACTTCTAGAGGCAGAAGGCACGGGGAGTGCGCAAAACCTCGTGTAGTCGACGTGGAGCAATTTTGCGAGTAATTCTATCTGTCTCCCCTCAACCTCTTCTCCCTCACTGACTCCCTCGCTCTCTCTGGCACAGACACGAAAGCCGAGCCAAGCTTCGAGCTCGAGTAGGGCTCACAGGGATCTCGATGGGCAGTGTTGCACCAATGTCACCTAAAGCCTCGGAAAGTACAGTGGCATAGCCAGCACTGCCCAAGTCTAGCGCGTCTGGGGCCCATGCCTTTACTGTCTCATTCTTTTTGACCGAAATCGCCACCCGCCGGCCGCCCTGTTGCGCTCATGAGGTGTGGTGGGATGAACATCCACAAGGCCCCTCCTTCTAACCCTGTAAGCTGGCGTAACCTATGAATAATTACCCATATGATTCAATTACCCATATGATTCTTAGGGTTCCCTTTTTGTAGTCATACTATCCAGGAGCCCAAAACCCTATTCTAATCACAAAGGCCCCTAGTCTCCTCTCTGAGGGATGCTCGCTGGGGGGGTGGGGGGGGGCAATGCCGCCGACTGGCACAATATGAGCTGGGATCTCTGCCTGGCGTCGCTCTCCTCCTCCGGGCCGCGCCACCTTCTAGCAAGCTTGATGCCGGACGCAGGGAACTGAACTTGGGACGAAAGACTTCAAAGCAAGACGAATCTCTCAATCGTGAATAAGAGCTTGAGAAACATGGAGACTATGGGCAGTTCGCGCTTTGCAGCACACAGTTCTCAGAATTCCAATGCCAAGTTGCCGTAGTGTCGAACATGCTGGTGCCGTAGATCAGGCATATTGCTGGATCTGCCAGTTGCCTCTCGGTTCAAAGCAACAGCTCTGTTCAATTCAGCAGCTGTCTGCAAGTCAAACGATCAAACAGCATCAAACGGCAAGCGGCTACAGCTTCTCCTTTCTTCGGGACAAGCACAGCGTCGGACGGCTGCAGCATGATGTTGCAAAGGGGATCCGGTTACGATAACTACCACACCGAGATCTACTCTACCGCCGAGCGGCTTCCCTGGCGTGCAGTGCAGCGAAGCTGCAGCCCTGGGCCGTGATCCGCCGGCTTTTTTCCAGGCCTGGCCCCTTCGCTTGAAGCGAAGGTACCCAACAGTGGAACCGCCGTATCGCGGTTACCTGTCGAAAACGTCGATGTTAAAGAATTTCGCATGGGGAGCGCCAAAGGCGCTTCCAGGGTCTGGAACCGGAGCCACGTCCACACGACGGATGCTCTGACTTGCAGAAGAGCATTCGCTGTGCCTGCACGACGTGGAGTCAGAGCGAGTGCTCTCGCAAATCAGAGCAGCCGTCGTGTAAATCTCCTCCTTTGCAGTCTCCCGTCGCCAAAGCCGAGATATGCATGAAGCAGGCGTGCGACATAGTGCGAAGGTACGGCATCACTGGCGAAACACCGGTGACGAGGCTTTGGGCCGACCTCGTGGTCCAAGTGTTGTTCGCAAGGTGGGACGATCCTTCTGTCACCGGATGCAGAGATTTCGCCAACGGTAACAGTGCAACTTGGGACTTCGAACAGAGATGCACCAGGCTGCGAATATTCAACCCGAAGAAGCAACGCAGTCCACGCGCATCAAATGCCCGTTCGTTCACAGCTAAGGCGGCACCATACTCAGAGTGAGCAAGGCAGAGCAGCAGCAGCAGCAGCAGCAGCAACAGCAGCAGCAGCAGCTACGACAAGAGCTGCATCTACCCTGGGACCTTGAAATTTGGCCGCACGGCGAGGCGCTCTCTAAACGTGGGTTCCGATACACGGGGGCAGCCGTCTTCCAGTGCAACATAAGGCCATCGCCCACCCAGCAGCGATGGCATGTCCAGATCCAGCTGCGAGCACTGCGCGATCTTCAACATCGCCGCCTGCAGCTCAAGCTGATCGCTACGAAGGCAAACAATCGGAGGCAAAGTCTGCACATGGAGTGACGTACGTACTGAAGCAATGGCCTCGATCCGGTGCACCAATTCTTCCGACCTTGTGCATGCCCAACTCATTTCACAGCCGGTTAAAGTTGATGACAGCTCGAGTGAGCCATGCAAAAAATGCATCGTGGTCTGAAGTCTGCATGGCAGCTCTCGACCACATCTGGTGTTTGCATCGGAAGTGCATTGAAGGTCGCACCGTCGAGCATCGCTGAGGGCCAGACTTGTAGTAAAGGGTACAGAACTTGGCAACAGATCAGTTCATGAGCATTCTGCAGTGCGCGATGAGAAATAGGGACTTGTCTCTGCCTCCTCGGAGGCGTAAGCTAGCGGCCACCACGCTTTCCCTGTCCCTTCGCAAGCTCTTTACGGGAGTTTGAGCCTCAGGCTCAACTCGATCAAAACCATGACACAGAGCTGGCGAACCTTTCTTTGAGCCCAGGACAGAAAGCTCCTTATTCTCGAAAAGGAGCACTTGATGTTGAGCCTGACAGCTCTGGCAGCTGCTCAGTGACAGCTTGAGCCAGCTATGCTCGCAGCTCGGCCACTGAGCCAAGACTTTCTCTAATAGCATGGTTAACTGTAGTAGATTAGAGTTCCTTGTAGTAGTTTGTAGTATGTTAAGTTAGACTACGATAAATTACAGTAGAGTGTGGCCAGTCCGGTCTTGGCGCCACACAGGCACACTCTCAACGGCCTCAGCGCGTGCTACGAGAAAGCTTGGAGAGCACCGTTGGGCTCACAAGCCCAAAAGACAAAGATCCTGGCGGCGAGGCGGTCTTGAAGATCCTGCCCGACGGTAAACACAACACTTTCTCTGACATCACAGCATGTCATGGGATACCATGGAATATTAGAGTGCTCTCGTGTATTGTGGTATGTTGTAATTTCTGATAGTACAAGACTTGACGAGAAGCATTCATGGCTTGAGCTCAGCTCCTGCTTCCTTCACGAGAAGGGTAGTTCTCTAAACTAGGGTCCCTTGTTAGATCCCCAATATAGTACGGCACCCAAAAAAAAGAACCCTAAAAGGGATCCTAATTTAGAGAACTACCCAGAAGGCAGAGCAGAGGCGAGCGCCTTCACAGTAGAGCTGATGGGCATGTGGAGGAGCGCCGCTTCCTGTGGTGCTGAGACGCCAGATCACAGCATGGCATCCCCAGAGAACCCAAATACCCCTTAATTAAGAAATAAGAAATATACTCAAAAATTATAGGGGCCTTAATAATATAATTTAAGGTGTATTATTCCTTAATTCAGGGGGGAGTGGGTTCTCTGGGTCGTGTGGGGCACGCAGGAATCTGGCCTCGCCCGTGATCCTTATGATGAGCACATCCACCTTCCCAGGGCAGAATATCGTCACTGCTCCGTGCTCAAGGACACTGACATTCCCAACAGCTTCGGTCCCTCATGCAACCACACAGGCATAGCCAAGGACCGCGGAGAGATGATCATGCTGACAAGATGGCAGGGCATTGAAAATGCTTTGTGACGGAGGCGTGACCGACGATTGCAAAGAAAGCATCACCTAGTCTGTCGTCATCTGTCATCCATAGTGGGATATAGTGGGGCTCAACTTGCGCTGGCCATCAGCCTTTGCAGTTGCCTCGAAGAAGACTATAAACATGGGAAAGTACTGGAACAGATGCCAGACGACAGACTCTGCGCAAATAACAGCCATAGCAATAGCAATGGTAATTGTAATAGAAATTCAATCGTAATTTTAGTAGTAACTGTAATCGTAAACATGAGCACATAATCAGGCAAGAGAATTCCACTAGTAGCTGAAAATAAATATAATAAAGCAACCATCTTCACATTTATACAAACAACAAATATTGGTTTTACCAAAAACCGATATTGATCATCGCTCACAAAGCTGCCGCCTCCCTCGCCACCGTCTGGTTGTGCTTGAAGGCCCGAGAGGCCTGGCCATAAGAGCGTAGGTGGAGGGGGAGGGGATTAACCCTAAACCCTGAAGTTTAGGGTTTAGGGTTCAGGGTTTAGGGTTTACCCTAAACCCTGAAGTTTAGGGTTTAGGGTTTAGGGTTCAGGGTTTAGGGTTCAGGGCTTAGGGTCTGGGGTTTAGGGTCTGGGGTTTAGGGATCAGGCTTTAAAGGTTTAGGGTTTGGGGCCGAGGGCTTAGAAACGGCGCATCCAATCCTAAAACCCAAAACCCTACACCTCAAAACCCCAAACTCTAAAAATCCTTAAACCCCAACCCAAAAAAAAAACGAATCTCAAAGCTTTGAAATCACCCTCTCATCGCACCTCAATACTCTTGTTTGCCCTGTGGAGTGAAGCCTCGGAAGAGTCAAGAAGCTCAATGCATTTAGGTCTCTCTGTCTAGGGGCGTAGCGACACCGGACAAGCAAAAAGCGGGATCCGGACTTTGGCGCCCAACTCGGATTGACCTGAGAGTCAAGGATTCGTCGCAACGGGACATGGCCGCGATGAAACGCCGCGAGCGTTAGACGCTTTCTCAGACTTTCAGCTCCGTGCCGTTCAGCTGGGTCAAGAACTTAGCACGTCCAAGCAGATGCAAGCGAGACAAGCGTGAAAGGAAATAAAGTGCAGCAGTCAGCAATAGTAATACAAATAACAATAATAAGAATGATAGCGCACTAAATCCTAAACCCAATAATTGCCTATAATGGGCCCCTAAGCCCTATAATTGCCTAGAATAGGCCCCTAAGCCCTAACCCTATAATTACCCAAACCCTATAATTGCCTATAATCAACTAACATCTTAGTAAAAATAGCCATAATAAGAATGATAGTACACTAACCCCTAAACCCTATAGTTGCCTATAATTACAATAGGCTAACATCAGGGCAAAACGTGACGAGGCTGAGACCTTGGAGCTTCTCCGTGGTTCACTCGCCACGTAGACCTGCAAAATCCACCGAAGGGCCACTTGGAGGTTCATGGGTAGTTAAAAGGTGGGGTTCCTTTAATTTAAGGGTTCCTTTAAAGGGTTGTCTATAGGGCTTAGGGGTAGTTATAAGTGGGGTTATAAGTCCCCTAATATGGGTTATAAGTATAGTTACCCTACTTATAACCCCACTTATAACTACCCATGAGCCTTCAAGCAGGGCAACTGAGAGACGTTCCCCTTGGGTGTTTAGGGGTCTAGAGGTTTAGGGGTTCGGGGCTTCAGGGGTTTAAAAGTTTGGGTTTTAGGAGTTTAGGGGTTTAAAAAGTTTACGGGTGTAGGGTTTAAGGGTTTAGGGTTCAGGGGTGTTTAGGGTTTAGGAGTTAGGATCTAGGTTCAGGGAGGGCTTCAAGACTTCGATGGGGCCTTCGCCGGCCGTGATTGATGCTAAACCGACCCTTCACCGCGCCTCGCGCTGCGGAGGCCGCAGCCCACGGCATAAGTTGCTAAGCACCTGCTTGGTCAAGGCTCACAGACTGGTTCACAGACTTCCTACATTATGAAACACGACATGTACGAAGCAGATGACGTTTGAATGCTAGAAAAGTTGTTCGCTGCAGCTCCGGCACTGCGTTCGACACAGATGTCACCGCCAATGCTTCCATCACTTGTAGTCGAGCTCGCTCGACACCTGTAAAGCATGCACAAGCTAGGTTCCTTGGTCTCAAATGCCGCTTTGCCATGAAGGATTCCCACTCCAAACAACTCAGCTGGCTGCATTCCCGCACCGCTTCAGCCTGCAATCATCACACACGCGCACGGCTTGAACACCGTCGTCAAACATCGGAGTCCACAACGAAGAGGCTTCAACCCCAGACCCTAAACCCTGTAAACCTTCCTAAACCCTAAAACCCTAAACCCTGAACAAAGAAACCGAGTGCATGTTCGACTTTCTGGGCTTCCAGCACTGCCGCCGGCGACCGCCCAGGCCTTCGGCATTAACGCACACACCCCCCTTCCTTAATACGAGCACGGATACGCAACTGATACGCTGTCTAATACCGCATACCCTTTCCAATGCTAATACGTAGAATCATTATTATTGGCTTGCTGTTAACTTTCTTCTTCTTACTATTCTGTTGCTACTGTTCCTATGGTATGGATGGTTATCAGTATCATCAGTATGATGACTAGTGCTATTATTGATTTCATTGTTGTTGTTGTTGTTGCTATGATTGCTTTTACTAGTATAACCGTTGGGTCAGGATTCAGGGAGCGAAAGGATTGTTGAGGACGCTGCAGCACTGAAGAGCATGTCGCTCGCAAGGGAGCCTTTTGCCTCGGTGGGGTTTATGGTTTTTGGGTTTGGGATTGGGGATTTAAGGATTTTAGGTTTGAGGATTAAGGTGTAGGGATTTAGGATTTAGGGTTTAGGGTTACGGGCTTAAGGGTGTAGGGTTTTGGCATTAGGGTGTAAAGGCTTAGGGCTTAGAGCTGCCAACGTCCTGCCCTCCGTCCACGACCTCCTGCGAAGCTCGATCTACACGTGAACCAGCCGCAATAAATTCCATCTTCAATCTTTCGCGAAACTAGGCTGGAAGCTTTGGTGAGGACGTAGTACCAGAGTGGCTGCCCAGCAAATTCCTTCAAATTCAGTTCCAAAACGCATGCAGGGGAATGTCTGACTGCATTTCACCTACGCTTTGTTTAGCCATGGCTCTGGGTTGCTGTGAGCTTCTTCGCGAAGTGTGACGAAGATTGCCTGCGCAAGTATGATCATACCGATGTAGGAAGCAATGAAGCAGAGCAAATGTCCATGGTGCTGTTTAGTGCTACTTCTGCCCTGTGCAAAGTCTCCAGATGTTCCTGAGTTGGATTCACGTTGGCACTGCTGTCTCCACGCACGCCCTCGTGATGAAGAACAACACAAGCACCTGTAAAGCGAAATGCCTCTGCATATACCCTGTCGTGCACGCATGCCATGCTCGCTGAAGACTTCCGTGCGCTTACACGCATGGTTGCAGAGGCTAACTTTTCACAAGCCCATCAATTTAACCGTAGCAAAGGCAAGTACATACTAGTGTGCATGCGGCTGCCGTGCAGTGTAGTATATTATATAGCATCTTATGCAGCATCTTATAGTATCTCATAGTATGGTATTTTTTGTGTATTATAGAATCTTATAGCAACGTATAGTAGCTTACAGTATCTTACATAATATCTTGTGCAGTATCTTGGGTACTATCTTATATAGTATCGTATATCGTATCTTATAGTGTATTCTACCGGCCGGAGAAGACGAAGAGGCCGCTGACCAAGGCGGCGAGGACATGCGCTCCATGAGCCGGCCGAGAGTGCACCGGCACACTGAAGGACTGATAGGGTTTAGGGTTTAGGGTTTAGGGGAGCCTGGAGGTCGGAAAGTCTTTGTGCATCTGCATCTCTCGCAATTGCATGGGCACCTGCAGATGGGCGACTTTCACTTGGGCATTCGACCGAAAACACCGCACGTCTTTTCTGCCTCGGCGCTTCTCCGGAGCAACCTGGAGGCGCAGCAAAGGGAAGCTCCTTCTAAGATTGGCTACGGCGGTTGGCTTGCAAGCATCAGATTTTGCAACCAGCACGCATGACAGAAAGTTATGTTCCCTGTAAGCAGATTGGCTTAAGTAAGCGAGCCACAGAAGTGGATTGCATGCACTTTAGACTTCAGCACGTCTATGCGCAGCTTGCGAACGTGACTCCACGGTTAGTTGCTGAGTGCGCAACATTTGCCAAACTGAGGAGCTCGTAGAACCCCTGTGCCACAAGGGTTGACGCCGCAAGTGCTTGTTGATTTCCACTGCTCGGTCATGAGACAATCGCTAGCAGATCTGAGCAACTGGGGCCGTTACGAATGTCTGTTCCAGAAAGAGCAGGAATTGTCCGGCCAAGATACTTTGACGGCGGACTGCCTGCTGGAAGGTATTGCGATCTGACATCTTTCCAAGTCTAGATGTTGCGACAGCGTGTAAGCTGGGCCTCCACGGTGCAGTCCTGCTGTCGGCCCACTTCTGCCTGCACCTGACGCTCCCCCCCCCATCCCATCATTCCGCCATGTGGTGGGGTCGGCGGGGGAGGGCAAGCAGCGAAGGAGGGCGTGAGTAGTCTTTGAAGCATCGGATGCCTTGGCCCAGTGAGCCTTGGCTCTTTCAATCGGTTCCTTGGATCTCACACAGACAGCGCAACATGGCAAACGACATGTTGGGTACATAGCCTGCCCTTACTGTCCCGTTGGCCCCCACCCTGTAAGAAGCTTACGGTTCTGCCAGATGCCACCCAATCCGGAAGAGAGGTGAGATTTTCAATCCTTGGAAGCAAGGCTCACAAACCAGGAAGATCGCGGAATGTGGTCTGCACTGGAAAATGCAGCAGCCCTGAACTCGCTAGATATTAAGGCCCTCGCAGCACCTTCGGATTGTTCATCATCCGTTGGCACGTCCTGCAGCACTGCATCAAATAGCAATCAGCTCCTCAAGCAATCTTGCCCGACCTTCCTTTCGTGCGCTTTCCGTCGCTCTCCGAATGTCTTGTGACCAAGTGATATCAGAAGCAGAAGCATCTACCTTTCCCCTGAGTCTGTGAAAAGAGCTCCTCCAGCCGGTGTCCCGAGGTGGGTCACGCACAACTGGGTGAATACCAGCGACACAGTGGCAGATCGTCTCCATGATGCCATGGACCACCCTGGAGAAAAGCCAATCGGAACAGCTGCACAGCTACGTCACATCTCACCATCGACTCTTGCCGGCCTTGGAGGTTTCGAGGCCGCACGAAGGGTGGGGATACGACCTGCCTCGACATGCGAAAGGTGGCGACAGTCTCGAGGCGCTCAGGGTGAGGCGAACTCTGTGAGAGCCTGCCTCGACGCAGGACACCGCCATGCGGACGAGTCTGGCCTGCGGGTTCTATCTAAGAAGCCAAGCATCGATACATCTCACGGAAGCATGACAGTGACATGCAGCAAGCATTTGGCCAGTTACGATGGCGTAGATCTACCTTGTCCGCCAGCTCCTTCGCAAATGCAGAGGCCTTCGCAACAGTCTCTCACAAACAAGACTGGCAAGTAATCGATAACCGACAGCAGATATCAGACCACAAAAAATGGATGATATATGTATAGAGAGAGAGAGGTGCAAGAACAAGATATAACACGTAACACATGTACTATGTAATATGTAAGGATATGCGGTCTAGACGGTCTCTACCAAACGACATATAACATATAAACACAGAGCATATAGCGCAAAACACAAACCATATAACATATAACATCATGAGATGCAATATGTAGTGTGCAAGAAGTAATATATTACATAGATTATTTCAACAGGACATGTAATGTATAGAACATGCTCGGTAGAAAATTTTTGTAACATGTAACACCGAATATCACATGTGTAGTTTACATATATATATATATATACACATATCGATATGGTATAACTTGGAAATGCAACCACATGAAATATACTACAGACTTCAAGGTAATACATACAAGGTTTAATGTACAACATATATGATGTAAGATGTAAGATATAGGCGGCAAGATATAAGACCTAACGTGTTCTACATGAACACAGCTGCACTACATCATCTGTTTTAGGTCATGTGCAATGCGCAGTATATTACAAATAGCATCCGAAAGGTTCACAGCTGAGCCATGGCCCGGACCATCATGAGGTCATCCGGCTCTACACCTCGGATCTCGCTCCATAAGGGGCTCGGAGATGGGGAGCTGTTGCAACAGAAAGGGCTTCAGTTTGAGGCTTAGGGCATTAGGGGTTTGCGGCGTAGGCTTCAGGGCTTTATTCCCTTCCTTCACACATCCTCCAACTGCACAAGGTGGCCAAAAGTACGCCAGGAGAACCCTCCATGCGAACAGAACCACAAAAGCTCCAGCTTCCTCAAATTAAGGATCCAGGCTTTCCAACCGAGGCACCTAGACTCATTGCGCCCACAGCCTGCATCGTGGCCTCTCGCATCAGGGCCTCCTCCTGCAGAGAACATGTAGGGTTTAGGAGTTTAGGGTTTAGGCTTTAGGGTTTAGGCTTCCTGATACTACACATAGTGCCGGCAAAACAAAAACCCAGATAGAGGCCCTACAGTATAAAGGGGTGGATACCTAGCACCAAGCGATGCAGACGCCACCTTGCCGCGCACAATGTTCTCAGGAAGCTTGATGAACTTGTGGTAGATCCGAGGAGGTACCTCGGATTCTAGCAGGATGCCCCTGTTTTGGGATTTCAGGCTCCCGGGTTTCGAGATTCAGTTTTGTTGGGGGTTTGGGGTTAAGGGCCTACTATACGATGATATACTCTACTATACTTTACTATACTTTATACTATACTTTACTATACTTTACTGTACTTTACTGCACTATGCTAAGATGCTTTTAACGGTTTTAGGGGTTGATCACTGCGGGAACGGCGAGGCTCTGGCTGCCACAGCAGATGCGCGGCCCAGGGCCTCTGGAAGACGCAGGGTAGTCAGCAGAAGAAGCGGAGAATATGGAACATAGAACATATTGAGTTATTCAGGTTGTAGAATGCGTAATTGTACCATAGAACTTATGAACTCATGGAGTCAACGCTGTCGCTTCCAGACTAGCCTGTAAGCCTCCGGCTTTCGTGATGCTGACCGTGTGCCCACCGTGTAGCGCGATGTCCAAATACCGGAGCGAGCAGGTCTGACAGCCAGACCAAGGGTTGCGAGAGGTTCTTTGGGGGCTTAGGGGCTTCAGGGGCTTCAGGGGCTTCAGGGGCTTCAGGGACTTTAGGGGCTTTAGTGACTTTAGGGGCTTAGGGTTTGGGAGGTTTAGGGGTTTAGGGGTTTAGGGGCCTAGAGGCTTAGGGTTTAGGGGCTTTAGGGGTTTTAGGGGCTTCAGGGGCTTTAGAGGCTTTAGGGGCTCAGGGTTTAGGGTTTAGGGGCTGGGGCTTAGGGTTTAGGGTTTAGGGGCTTTAGGGGCTTAGGGTTTAGGGTTTAGGGGCTTTAGGGGCTTCGGGTTTAGGGTTTAGACTTTTCTGTGGTCATGAGGTAGATGTGAGCGAGGCTTCAGTGCTTCTGCACTTTGCACCTTCAGCAAAGCTCTCGAAGCCACCCAGTAAGAGGCCTCAGAAGGAAGCTCTGCTGGAAACCTGAGGACCGATGCAGCAGAGCTGAGCCGTCTGCCATCTGCAAAGTGGGGTCGTCGAGACTGAAGGGCCAGTTTTCCACCTGCAGGGGCATAACTTGATCCACGGCGCAACCTCTTGGCCCCCTAAACCCTAAACCCTAAACCACCGGCACTGAGCTTGCCACGAGCGTTCGCAGCTCGTACTCTTTGGGCGGAAGGCCCGTGGTGGAGAACCTTTGGTCGCGGCCCAAGCAAGAAGCAGCGGCAATGGAGCACATGGCATAATGTAGAGGCCTTGATAATTAGAATGGGGTTTTGGTGTACATTATACTATACTATACCTATAATCAGGAACCCCCAAGACAATGTTAGCAATTCTTTAGGCTCCTATAGGATCTCCAAGTTCGCTGCCGTGCCAGGCTCATGAGCACATTCTCCTGCGGAGCCTGCAAGGCGTCCTCGTCTCCGGGCACCTGGACCTGCCCCACGATGCGAGCAGCCACTGAAACTCTAAATCCCTAACCCTAAACCAAGCCCTAAACCCTAAATACTGAACCACTTACGACACGCATTCGCTCGAAGTCACTTCAGAGCCGGGCCTCTTGCAGGGCCTCCGTCCGCATGAATTCCGCTTCCTCCACCGCTGCTCGGATCGCTTCACCTCAGAGCAAAAAAAGAGGCCCGCAACGAAGTCGCACACCCCTCTCTTACCGCTGTCCGAGCTCAGAACGCAGGGCATGCGTCGCTTCTCTGTAACGGTTCTTCGCCACCTGTTTCTGAGGTGCATTGACTCTGACGATGCCCAGGCTGATGCCAAGAGCAGGGCCGTTGCTTTCCACTTGATCCCTCCCATCTGCTTTTGTAGCACGGAAGGGGCGGCTCCTGTAAACGGTTCTTGGAGGCCGTGGCATGGCAGCTGGATGTCGACTTCTTCTCGGAAATAGCTGAGAACATCTCGCAAGCTTAAAGACCCTCTAGCAGCGAGTGACCCCAAACCCCTAGCAATAAACCCCTACACCCCTATTATTAAACCTTAAACCCCTAAACCCCTAAACCCCTAAACCCCTAAACCCCTAAACCCCTAAACCCTAAACCCTAAACCCCTGAGCCCCTCAACCCATCTCCTTTCTTCTTCACATCGTTGAACTGCCAGATCTTGGTCGACAGACATAGACATCCAGCGCACGCTGCCAGGTCCCCAAAAGCCCACAGCAGTTTAGGGTTTTAGGGTTTAGGGGTTTAGAGGTCTAAGGGTTTCGGGCTCAGGGGTTCAAGGGTTTAGACGTTTAAGGGTTTAGGGCCTTAAGGGTTTAGGGTTTTGAATTCCTAAAACCCTAAAACTCCTGAACCCCAAATCCCCCAAAACTCTCAGGGACTGCATCCTGGGCTCCGCACGCGCTGCAACTTCCAGCCATCCTCCGGAAGCTCTGACAGGAAGCACTGCGAAGCTCGAGGGGGGGTTGTGGGGTTTGGGCTTACCTTGAGCTATTAAAAACTATTTTTTGGTAGGGACCCTGTAGATTCTATGTTAGGGTTTTTGAAAGTGAAAGGACTTAGGATGTTAGGGTTTAGGGATTTTTGGGGCTCTTCCCCCGCCTTGGCTTGCAGAGCATTCCGGGCCGCCTCAGCATGGAAAGGACGGCTAGTTGCACTTGAGATGTGGTGACACCGGCTTAGGGTTATAGGGCTTAGGGTTTAGGGTTGCAGGGTTTAGGGTTTAGGCAGCAGTATCGCACCAGATTAGCTCCCGCAGTAGTCACCTTGCAGTACCCTCGCAGAGTTTGAGCTGACTTTGCCTGTTTAGTGTATGGCACCACCCACCCCACCCCACCCCGCCCCAACATCTCAACACCAAGATATGAGAATATGTTTATCCAAACTATGTGCCATACACCTGAAACGCAAGGGGTTCATTGTCGAGTTTGGCTCAGGCTTGGCGTTGAGGGTTGTGCTTCCCAGGTAAGCATAATGTAGAAGTTCTGAAAGACAATATTAAGATTATAACTCTGTGATTAGGCAAAATTGAGGCGGATGTGGCGAACATCGCCTGCTCTCCAGAGAACTTTGAGTCAGTAAGACATGATTCATTTCAACTTCATCGTCTTTAGTTGCTTCTGGTAATTGGCTCCATATTTCGGATTGATACTCTAGAACTCTTGCAACAATTTCATTGACCCTTCTGTGGTGTTCATGCACGTTTCCCGCTAAAAGTGTTTCGTCGTTTGTGGGGTCACATCCTTGACAATTGAATGCCCTTTTTTTCGCTGTCTTCTCACCTTGTTGTCTGTTCATTTCCTCTCTGTTCCCTTCGTGGCAGCACCCCCTATATTCTCGACACAAATTACTTCTAACATACAATGGCGATCTCAGAAGCTCTATGCTTAAGATTGTGGCTCAGTGATTCTCAAGTCTACCACCACAATTGCTACGGCTGAAACACCAAGTGTCTTTCGCTTGCTTCCAACGATAACACATCCTAGAAGCATTAATGCGTGGTCGACTGTGAATGGTCCAGAAACAGCTATATCTGATCTATTGTTGCTGTCATTACTGCTATTACTATGCTGTATCAGTATTAGCATTGTTATTGATATCATTATTGTGTATGTCTATAAAAGGCTCTCCTTCTCAGAATACAGGATTATGAAACACACTGGCTCCTTAACCTTCAACGAAACGAATTCTGAAGAACATTATGGTGGCTCTTTTTTTCTGTTTCAAGAGGGGTCTTTGCCTATCTGGCAAGGCACAATACATACTGCTCATCCTCTGGAAGCTTTTTTTTCTTCCACCTGCTTCTCTAATTTCTCGATGCTGTCTCTGGCTTCTTCTGGAGCTGTCTTTCTCCCTGTTTGTCCCCATGCGGTGTCAGCTGTTGCCACGTTACCGCAGCCGCTTCATTTGTTTTCGATATGTGTTGAACAACTGGGGTAACCGCGGCCGGAAGTTACTACTGATGTCTTTGTCTCTGTGATACGCTTACACCTACAAGGCAAACAATTTGTCCGTTCCGAGGGCTAAACCATGGGCCCCGTAAGGAGCCCTGCTAGATCCCTTTCGAGCAGGTTGTTGAAAGGCCGCGGCATTTTCATGCTCTGCGATCTTCTTTTCGGTAGCGAGGTGGACTGGGTCATCTGCACAGGCCGAAGCAAGGAGTGTGGTTTGGGCGTAGGGTTAGGTTTAGGGTTTAGAGGACTTTACCATCGAAGTGGTCGATAACAGCTGCTTCAAAGCCCTTTCTTGGCACCTTTGGACCACTCCCAGTTGTCCAGCACATTCCTGTTTGGCAGCAGGAGACTGACATGGAAGGAAGAAGAACTGCCAGTAGCAACATTCCGCTTTGCACCCTAAACCCTACACCCCAGAAACAAGGCAGCAGCACGCCAGAGCAACTATGTCCATTGGCGGTCCCATGAGCCTCCAACGCTTTGACCGTTGGGCAAGAAGTCCCGACTCGATCAAGATAAGCCAAAAATGATTTAAATTGTACTATACTTTACTTTACTATATACTATACTATATTATATTATTCTGTACTGTACTGTACTGTACTATACACTACCAGGCCATACTATACTATACTATATCATACTAAACCATACTGTACTTTTCTATACTATACTATACTATACTATACTATGCGATGCTATACTATACTGTACTGTACCATACAATACTATACTATGATATACTATACCGGAATATACATATATATATATATTATATATTGATAGGCTCCTGGTACTTTTCAAGCTCTGACCATACACCTTCTGGAACCGACAAGTGGCCTCTCCACGTCTTCCACCAGCTTGTCGTAGCGACGCAAGGCCGCCATAGCCTGCTGGTAGTCCTGCCATTTTGCAGCTTTCGAACGGAGCAGTGCCGAGCAGGGCAGCTGAGTCCTCGTCGGTGCGGTCAAACTCCCACTCCTGAGTGACCTGCGGCTAGGTGGCTCAACTAGCCGGGGAGAAACCAAGAATGGAAACCACTTTACAAGCCAAGTTGATCTAAGACTCGGAACATTGGAAGACTTGTAGCCTCAACACTAGCAGATCGCACAATTACAGCATAATGAAGCCTTCATACCGTAGGAGGTGGATTGCCTGAGTACTCCTGCAGGTTCACCTGGAGCCGAAAGCATGCTCTGGTTGCGCCTGCTGCAAGTGAGGGCCATCTTTGCCCAGGACCTTATTCACCCATGTGGCTCTTCACCTACGCATCTCACTGCATCCACAAGTTCCACAAGATTAAGACTTCATTAAGACTTCACCCCTGGAGGCGTGCGAACCGACTTTTGGCATCTCGGCGACCGCATGCGGGCTGCAGAGCTGCACTAGGTTCCCGAGCGGCTGCCTGCAACTTCTGCTTCTGCTGATCACGCCGGGCAATGGCCTGGCGTGCCTGCATGGTACGCACACGCCATTTGTCAAAAAACTATGGCTGCCGTGCCTTGACAGCATGCACATCGTCGCGGCTGAAGTCCCATGTCGCCAATGCAGCCTGTCATGCCCAGTGGCTCGGAAGACTGAGAGGCCGACCAAATCGCTTGAAGAAGCTGCCTGGATAGAGGAGATCTTCCTTTCCCCGACTGCGTGGTCCAACGCCCGTGCTCGGATTTGGTACCTGGCACTCAGTACGCAAGATAAAGGCTCAGGCTGTCAAGAGACGTACTGGTAAAGGGACACCTCTAGCTGTTTCAGATGGCCATGGCGCGAGGTCAGCAGGACGTCCCAGTGCCCCATAAAGAAGCGGATGGCAGTTCCCAGGGTACCTCTTGATCATCTTCTTGGCCTCCTCGGCACCGTCAATGTTCTTCGGACCGTCTTTGCTCATGTCGCTCATGGCCTGCGTAACGAGGGCATTTTTGACTCTAGGAGCAACCCAACACGAGGCCATGGAGGCCATGGACAAGGGGAAGGCCCTAGGACCTGGTGCAGAGTTGAGTAGCTGGAACGGTATAGGGTTTTAGGGTTTAAGGTTTAGGGTTTAGGGTATTAGGGTTTAGGGTTTAAAGTTTAGGGTATTAGGGTATTAGGGCTTAGGGTTTAGGGTTTAGGGTTGGCTGGCGTCCGAATCATCCAAACACCAACCACCACAATCCACCACCCAATTTTTGGAAAGCATGCAACTCAACCCGCGTTCGTCGTAAGCTGCTCTCAAGAAACAACGCTTCGCCGATCTCTCCCGCTTCACCCCACAAACAATGAGACAAGTTTGCATCCATGCGTGGACCTCTCCAAACAACTCTGTTTCTTTCCGACGAGTATTCCGGAGGCACTATCCGTCGGCAGATCGCCGAGCATTTGGGTCGACAGCGGGCAGCCAGGCAGCACTCTTACGGTTAGTATAACGATGAAAGGTGCACTGGGCTCTGAAAGACTTCACGGCGCACGGCAACGCAGGCCGCCTCGCGCAGCTTTGGCACGTCGCGGCGCTCCAGAGCGTCCTGCAGTCTCGGCGCCCGTAATGAAGGCTGCAGAATTGAGGGTTTAGAGCTTCAGCGTTTTAGGGTTTAGGGGGCGAATCTAGCTCAGAGCATCCGACATCGAATTGCACAGCCATTCGGTATCCGAAAAGCAACGAGGGCATGGCGCTGTCCTTCAGCAGCTTTGGCAGTTCCTCTGCCTCATTTACGCTCCACTAGACTCGACTCTACCTTCAGTCCATGTCTAGTGAGTCCAGTGAATCGAGTGGAGGGCTGGGAACCCCAATCCCAGAAGGCTTCCCAAAATCCCAGAATGTCACAGCTCCCCCGTAAACCCCAAACCCAGTTCCCGTATTCTCCCGGAAACGCAGAGCCCTTTAAACAAACTTATGAAACCCTGGAAGTATTGTGTGACGTAACCCTTCTGGTTCGTAGCCTTCTCAATACCCTGCAGTCACACCTTGCATGCTCGTTGCGAAGGCGATGCCCAAAAGAACACTGAGCTCCGCGCGAGCCGCCGCCAGCGCTCCAGGTCCTGGCGAGCGCCAGACACCTGGCACCAGGCAGTGCTTGAGCCCAAAGAGGTCCCAGAGACTCCAAAAAAAACCCTTAATTAAGGAATATGCCTGAAATTATAATAGGATCACTAATATGATTTAAAGTATACTCCTTAATTAAGGGGTTTTGGAGTCTCTGGGTCCCTGATGAGAAGAGGGCCTTGGGGCATGTACCTTTGCATGTATGTGTGCGTATGTATGGACGAGAAGGGGGTGCTTATAAATTGCTGGGCCCTCCTCGCAAGTCCGCCCCGCTGCTCAGATCCATGGATTCCCCAAAAGCCTCCGCATCCTCTGCCGAGTGCTGGAAGCGGGACAGGGCCTGAGCCAGCCCCGCCACCTTGAACAGGACGCGGTGTGGAAGCGAAGAATACTAATACCATGCTCGACTTACAGGCGTTTTAGGGAGAAACCCTGAGTTGGATTCATACGACGGTTTCCGAAAATAGGGGACCCTAAGATAGTACCCGAAATAGTAGGATCCTTATTATCAGGACCCCGAAATAAGGTACCCCCTTCTTGTAGGAAACTCCCATATGCTAATGTTGTTGGATTCATATGGTAATGATGTAGTATAGTATAGCATACTATAGGACCTTATAGTATAATATAGTATAGTATAGTAGAAAATAATATTGTATAGTATAGTATAATATAGCAAATATAGTATAGTATACCATAGTATATAGTATGTTCACCATGGGAATCTCGACACCGAGGAGCGTCTCTCGCTCGGTGCGCTTTCTTGATCTCCTCGACGCCAGCCTCAAAAGGAGCAAAAGAGCTCTTCGGCGCATTGGGTCTCCAACTTGCACTGGAGTTTAGGGTTTAGGGTTTGGGTCCTGTGAAGTGACACTATGATGCACTAGGAATCCGACTTGCCACTTGCCCAGCACAGCTCTGGCCTTCACCTCAGAGTCCGCCCTTCCCGACAGCTCCCAGACACTTCAACCCATCCCGGGGCTCCGGCCAGGCGAGCCGCCATCTCCATCCTTAGGGAAAAAGACGAAAAGCATAGAGACGTGAGACCAAAAGCCAGGGACCCCCTTAGCTGCGGCCATGAGTCTCAACGGAGTGTCTGTGCACCGGATCTAGACCTCAAGAGTGATCTTTCTAGGGCTCCCTTTCTTTCCAGTCGTTGACGGAGAGGGCCCCGTTAAAAACCAAGCTTCCGGCTAGCGCTGCGCCTGACCGCGTAGACTGTCCTCAAGGCAGCTGCCGGAAAGCTGAAGATCGACCTTTTGGTGTGAGGCGGCTCCTGAGGTAGCTTTCGCCATGGGCCTCCTTGAGAGCGCCCTGCAAAGGGGAGCTTGCCCAGATCCCTCCTCCCCCCCGAAACTGACCTTGCTCCAAGCTGTCTCAGGCAGTGTGCGCCTGCAAAAGATCCACACGACGGCTTCGGATGGACGCCTCTGTGGCTGCTTGAAGCAAAGCTTTGTGGTGAAACACCCTGGACCTGAAAACTCAGACAGATGAGACTGAAAGCTTGGTGGGTCTTTGTGGACCCTCATGCAATCATCTTGCCGCCCATCGGCCTCAACAGGTTGCCACCAGAGTCTCACCGCTTTCAGCGCCTGCATCAACGGGCTGCATACGTCCCAGGACAAGTTCTTGCTCCCTCGCTTGCCCCATGGGACGCAATCTGTAACAGAAAGCCACGAAGACAGCTCTGGATGCGTGCACCAGAGTCGCGTGCCGACAGTATGTCCAAAAGACCCTGAAGATGCAACTTTCATCAAGTCGCCTCAGAGAACTCTTCGTCGTTTTGGCTCTCCCAGAGAGCGAGCTGCGACCTTGCGATCATGATACCGGCACTGCAGGGCTGCGGCCGTGTAACTCAACAAAAACACCGAAATGATAGAACACGATAGAACCGTCTTCAGTCACGGTTGGCCTAGACGGCGAAGTTGGCGGAGACGACGATGGCTTGCGCCTGCTGTTTCGACACATGGGGAGCGGAAGTCAAAGCGGCTCGGGCCTGTCGCTATCCACACTGCGCTGCGACGCACCGAATCCTCGGAGCCCATAGAGCTCTGAGGGAGAGAATGCGTGGGCTGGCACAGACGGAAGCCTCGCAAGAAGAGCATGTGTGGTGGTGGGTGGCTCTGATGATCGTTTCCTCTCAAAGCTCTTCCGCCACTTTGGACGGAGCGACATCGCAAAGAGTGCTCACGACGCGCATGAGACTTGCTTCCTCGGCGAGCAGGCATGGCACGTTGGGCATCCACACAACCAGCATAGTCTTGCAACCGCTGCCGCTTGGCTTCCAGAGCCAGATCAAAGATATCACACAGGCCGACTCAGCATGCGGCAGTCACGTCTTGCAGCTTGACATAAACTGTGTCAGGCGGATCCTGTGCGCGACAGGAAACGTCAGGGATGAGCTCTCAGACGCATGCTACTGGCCTCTCTTCTCTCTTGGCGGCAGACTTCCGGTGAAACCTTCCGACTCGCATATGGCATGTTTTTGCTCGCATGACGGTCACGTACGGATGTTGTCACTTTGTGGTACACAGAGAGCAGAGAGCGCTCCGGGCATCGGCGCTGGGCCTGGGTCTGCCCCTCCAGCGACACGGCTGCGCAGTCCACAGAAGCCTCTGCCACCAGCGCGGCGGCGAGGAGCGGGGCATCGTCATCCTCCAAAACCACACCACACAAAGAGAGGCTGCTTGCTCCAAATAAGCTCTGATAGGGCGGCTAGGTTGCAGATCTCTTGCTCCCAGTTGCCCCGCCTGCGGGAAGATTACGCTGACCAAGCCTGGGGCGAAACAAACACAAAGCAACCAGCAGGCTAGCAGCGGCTAGCACCTGAGACAAAGCCATGCAAGACGAAGCCACCCCCTCTTGCGACTGCCCCAGGCCGCACCTAGGATGGCGGTAGCTGCGATGACATTGCTGCTCGTGGCAAACTTCGATGCCATTGGAGATATCTGCTGCTGGATGGTCGACACGAACGGGGCTGGCCAGGGCTGAAGCTGACTTGCAAAGCATTGCAGATCACTCCGCATGCCTGCAAACCTGCACCTGTCAACAGACGTCAAGACCTTTATTTTCGGGCCTCTTCGATAGTGATGCGCCATCCAGGAACCTCCACATGTCACAGCTACTCAGCTATTCGAGGCTCGAGAGCAGAGGAAGCCAGCAGAGGGCCTCGACATTTGCCAATCTCCTTGTCAAGCGTGGAGTTCCCGGAAATGCGGACCAGTCGCAAGCGGGGCGTCACCTGAAAAGAAGGGAGGGCCAACAAAGAGCAGGAGGACGGGAGCCATCTGAGCCATCGCAGACGGAGATTCGGGCCTCCTTGAGGGAGTCCTGCCAGCTGCGCAGCATCAAACCTCCAAGCAGTTCCAGAAGTGTTCTCTCAGAACCCTTTTAGGATTTAGGGTTTAGGGTTTAGGGTTTAGGGGCCTTCAAGCCTTAAAGACCCGCAAAAACCCTAAATGCAAAGACGCCTGGCACCCCGTGCAGCGCCTGGCGCCCCCAGGAAGCTGCCGGAGTCGGCCCCCAGCCAGCGGAGCCCGGGCCCGGCAAAGGCGAACTCGGAGATCCTGCGTCAAGGCCTAAGAATTACCTATAGGATCATCTTATTTTGGGGGGTTCCTGATTATAAGTATAGTATATATATATATATATACATATACATATACATATTTTTCTGGGGTTCCTTATTATAAGTACAGTATGTGTATATATATATATATATTATTTTGGGGGTTCCTTATTATAAGTACAGTATACTGGGCCCCAAGGCACCCCCCCGGGCAACACACGGTAGGATATGATCACTGCAAGACCACCAGTTTAACGGACAGTTTAATCGTTCTAGGAGAAGCATGACATAAGTGGTATAGCGCACAGTGGCCGGGGGGTGGAGGGGCGACCTTCTCGAAGTTTTCAGCGAGGGCAGGGTCACGGCAGCTGCTGCTGTCCTTGGCTTCAAGGGCCAAGGGCTTGCTCTCAGCTAAAATTATATCGCATCATATATATGTATATATATATATATATATATCCATATACATTTGTATACATAATGTGCATATATATATATATACAGATATAGAAACAGATACAGATATAGAGATAGATATAGATATATGTGTGTGTATATATATATATATGATACACATATACATATACGTCTACATACACATACACCTACACCTACGCCTACACCTACACACACAAGACACACATACGTACATACATACATACATACATACATACATACATACATACATACATACATACTCACATACCAACGTACATACATACATACATACATACATACATACATACATATGTACATACATACATACATACTCACATACTAACGTACATACATACATACATACATACATACATACATACATACATACATACATACATATATTATACATACATACATACATACATACATACATACGTACATACGTACATACGTACATACGTACATACGTACATACGTACGTACGTACATACATACATACATACATACATGCACATGCGTAGATGCAAGCATGCATGCGTTGGATATTCGGAACGCAGGATGCGGCCATGTTTGTACCTTTCGGC